CCGATGGTTAAAGGACGGGGGCGGCACCAACCCCCGCTGCTACCAGCCGCACAACCCTCCCCTCCTTCCTTCCTTCCTTCCTTCCTTCTTTCCTTCCCTCCGCACCCGCACGCACCTCCGGTCGCCGCGCCGGGAGCTAAGATGGCGGCCAGGCCACGCCGGTCGACTGCCGGGACGCCCGCGCATACGCACAAGGCCACGCTGCGCGAGGAGGCGGAACCCGCACAGCGGAGCTGGCTCGGGGCTCCAGGGACACTCGCCTTTCCCCGCCCCCTCTGCGTGGGTGTGGTTTAAAGGCTGCTGCGCGTGCGTAATGGGGTGGCCGTTGCGGGTCACGTGGCCGCGCCAAGATGGCGGCGCCCAGCTCGACCTTCCGGCTGCTGGCGCGGTGGGGCTGCTGGGTCCCGGGCCGGGCGTGGTGTCGCGGCTACGGTGGGCGGGCTTCCGCCACTGGCGAGCTGGTGACACACACGGGGCAGGTGATGTCTCCCGCGGGGGGCGGAGACGTGTGCGTCGGCGCCGAGGCGGGAGCGCTGGCACTGTAGGCTCGGAATCCCCGTTTCCCAGATGGAGCAGCCGAGGTGCCAGGTGGTGGAGGGACAGGTGACCCTGCAGGCCTGGGCCCCCTGCCTTGTCTTGTGCCGAGGCTCTGGCTGTGCGGGTCCCCGCACCTTTTCATTTACACGTGCCCCATCTGCGGACCCACCATGTCTGGGGCCTGGTAAATCCCCTGCCTTAGCCAAACCTAAACATCTCTCTGACCTGGCTGGGAGGGCCCCCAGGGACTGCGGGATCACTTTTCTGTCATTTGACCATTCATGTCTCCAAGCAGAGTTTCACTGGCCCCTTGGGTTCTTTCAAGGGCCAGTGGGCACTGTCCAGTGTGCTTGGTGTCACCTCTCTGTGTACTTGTTTTTAACCTGTGGCCTTTTCTCCCATCCCTGCTTTGTTCTTTGTTGTTCCAAGTAATCAGTTGACACACATCTACTAGTCTTCTCTGTTAATCAGGGTGGGGAGTGGGGGAGGAACTGTTGCTCTTTAGGCCTTAAGGCCTGTGTCTCCAATACGTGTCAAGTAGGCCCACGTTCCTATCTATCGCTGTATTCACCAAGCCCCATTTTTTTATTGTGAATTGTTGATGGGGTCAGCGCCTTGGTGCCCTGTAGAAACAGAGAACCTCCAAAGTGACTTATTTGGGAGCAAGGAATTCAAGGCATGTACGGGATGGCAGGCTGTTCTGTAAGGAATGGTTCTGGAAAGCCTGTAGTAGACTAACAGGCAAGCAAGTAGTTCAACACAAGATCTCAGTGCAAGGTGGTAAAAAGGGCTAATGGTTCCTAATGTATAATTAAGCTGTAACTTATTTGGTATTTCAGGTATATGATGAAACAGACTACAGAAAAACTCGTTTCGTGACACGGCAGAAGGAGGTAAAATACACTCTATCTAGGCTCTGCTGGAGTTGATTTTAAATTTCTTGGTAATACCTTAAGGCTTGGTTTTATTTAAACACGTTTTTAAATTGTAAAGACTTTTCATTCTGTTAGAGTAAAAACGGTAGACTCATTTTTGTGTTGCATGGGAACAAATAGCTTGTGCAAAGATTGTTGCTCTGTACTTTGCTGTTGATGATATCGGATGGCTTATAACTTCTCCTGATCCACAGCTCTGATCCAAGAGCTTCTGCATACATGGATCAATGCAGGAACAGCTCTTCCTTAATAACTTCACATGTAGACCAATATTTGGCTGCAAAGGTTCTACTTTGGGCAGGGAGTTGGACTAGATGACCCCTGAGGTCCCTTCTAGCCCTAATTTTATATAGTTCTATGATTCAAATATAGTTATTCCCTGTATAACAAAGAAGTGCGTAGCAGTATGAAAAAGTCCAAATTTCAGTTAATATCAATGCATTTTTTTTTTTATTCAACCGAAATCAAATTCTGACAAGTTATTTCTGGAGACGCATGTAATAATACTCAAGGGAAATACGATATAATATTTAATAAATAGTTGCATTATGACGGAGACTCCTTGTCCCTCTTGTGCCTAAATATCGTACAGTAAAATCCCTGTTATGTGGGATTTTACTAACCGGAATTTCCAGCCGGGGGTTGGGGGGAGAGGAAACTTGCATGCGGCTGCTGCTGCTGCCAGCCACCCCGCTGCACTGCCACCATTCTGTGTGTGGCCGCCACCTCTCCCACTCCTGCTCCATTGGGGTGGAAACCCTGTGCCCTTAGGTAACGGGCGTTTTTACATCACCAGGACCTCCATTCCCCGGATATCAGGAATTTTACTGTACAAACAGGTAGTGAAGTAAACCGTGTTTCAAATTGCTCGTGGTAATGTGTTATGTCATGTAGAGGCTTGGTATGCCTGACTAAAGAAATGAAGCAAAAAAAATTACACTGCAAGTGAACGTGGATAAAAAGGTTGCTGGTGGTAAATAGCACAGTAGTAAGTCGGGGATCTCATGCAACAGTAAACAACACAAATTTTAAGCAAGGGACCCACTTCAAACATTTCTGTTCTATCATACCACAGGATGGTAACGCAAAGGAATTGAAGCATGGAAGCAGGAAATAGAACCTATTTTGCACTGCACAAGCTTCTGTCACCCAAGCACATCACAAGTTCATGTCTAAAAACAATCAGACCATGTATAAACTTTGGCAGTCAAAGCAGGGTTCTCTCTCAAGCAAACAAGATACTATTGGATTCTTTTGAAAAAAAAAAAATTCCCCCAAAATTTCTTGGTGCATAGTATGATCCCACAACACAAGAACAATACATAAGAACCAAGAATGAGTTCTGTCAATTTTATAGGGAAGACGAGGTCTAGCGTCACAAACTGCTGGAAGACCATTTTAGACTGGAGGTAAGGAAAAACTTCTCTACTGTCCGAGTCTCCAGAGCAGACTGGAGTGGAATAGACTTCTCCTAGAGGTGGTGCAAGCACCTACTCTGGACACGTTCAAAAAGCATTTGGATGATTATCTTGCTGGGGTCATATGGTCTCAGCTGACTTCCTGCCCTTTGGGCAGGGGGCTGGACCTGATGATTTCATGAGGTCCCTTCCAGCCCTAATGTCTATGAAATCTATTAAATGACCGGAGCAAACTGGCCTATACTCTGCAGCCTGCAATCTTTCTCTTGTGAGAAGGTATAAAGACAGTATTTACAAAATTACTATTTTTTTAATACAACCTTAGTTATTACGTGTGCATTTATAGTGCTAGAATCAACAGTTGTGTAGGAAATATAATTATAATAACTTGGGTATTATGCTTCTTCTGTAATGCCTGACAATAATAAAGACATTTTAAGCTGTCACTTGTGATGTTTTTAAATTATGGCATGCCTCATGCTTCAATTCAGCAAAACAGTTAAAACGCAGATGTAACTTCAAGCCCATGAGTGGTAGTGGTATTAGGCCCTGATTCTGTAAGCATACCTATTACTTACGTGAATAGGCCTCTCTTTTTTTAGTTAAACATGTAAGTGAAGAAAGTGATTACTAATATATCTTACAGTTTTCTTATTCACTTTTACTGTTATACAATTCAATATGCAAGCATTTTGTTAATGTAGACAAGAACTAATTTTCATTTACTTCTAATTGGTCAAATACAAATATGACTTCTAGTTTACAAACACAAATTATTAAAAAAATATGCCTTAGTACCCCCAATCTTGAGGAAAGCAAACATACTTTCTAGAGATTACTTGAAGATGTATGGCATGAAAAGTACAGGATGATTATACCACTCTAACAGATCTGGCTGGGATTTTCAACATAGCCTAAGGGAGGCTTTCATTTCTGCCTTAGAAAATCTTTTCTGTAATCCCCATGTGAACTAGCTTGAGATGCAGTAGTTTACTGTTAAAAGACATCTGTCTTGGGGATATCCTCTTAAATGTATAGGATGTGGGTGCTTAGGGAATTAAATAGACCTTCGAATTTGTGAACAGAAGCGTACATGAAGAGCATGTTCTAGTTAAATGCTCAGTCATGCCAAGTTTGACGATACAAGTGCAATGTTACCATCTCCCTTTCGGCATAGATTTTGAGACATTAAATGGATTAATTACATGTAATGGGGTCACTTCGGTAAGCAGAAAATCGTGAAGTGGGGAGGGTGGTTAGTCCTTCTAACCCGTTTCTTTTGCTGTCATTTCTATGTTATTAGAAGCTGTGAAGTTGACTTTCAACAGTTTCACGGTTTGTTTTAGAGGCAAGGCTCTCAGTTAAATGTATGTAGCCATAATAAGGTGTGAACAGGTGAGCAGAAGCACTGAGTAGTGTAACCACTATTAATAAGTTGGGAAAGCTAAGAACAAACTTCCCATATGTGAAATAGCCAAAATTTGCTTAAGCAGTACAGTCAATATTGAAATCAGTAGAATTTTGGAAAATGACTGTTGTCATTTGCAGGATTTAAATGGTGTTTTAAATGGCTTGTACTATAATATGGTATGGTATTATCTTCAAGTAGGTTTCCCTAGGATGTTGGGCACAGTGTAGCATTTTATATTATGATATAGTTACACTATTTTTTGTCATAATGGTCCTCCCCCCTAGTGTAACAACATTGGATTAAAATTTGAGAAAAGCTTAATTTTTGCATAAGTTTGAGGTGTCCTTAAAAACTGATCTATAAATGAGAAACAGGTCATGCTAGTGCTTTTTAATTTTTCTGTTGCGTGTGTGTGTGCGCGCACGCGCACCTGTATTTTCCTTCATACTTTATTACATTAGAAATTGATTGGTTGGGAAACTAGTGAAACATATCATCTCAGAAGCTAAGAATGAATGTCTGCAAGTTGGGAAAAGTGAGTCTTTCACTCTGTTCAGGACTGGTGTGACATTATTACCTGGAAGGTACCATGTCCAGGTTTCAGCACTGCACTTGAAGAAAGATGTGGATAAATTGGAAGGAGTCCAGTGGAGCGTGATGAAAATGATTAGACATCTAGAATACATGAATTATGAGAAAAAGTTGGAAGAAGTGGGATTATTTAGTCTGTAAAATACAAGAATTAAGGTAGGGGTGAGATTTTCTAGCTGTCCTCAAATACATGTAGGGTGACTAAAAAGAAAATGGTAATAGACTATTCTCTGTGGCTGCAGGAGATAGGACAAGAAGTAATGGTCTGAAAGTACAAAAACAGGAAATTCAGGTTGCATTTCAAGAAGAACTTTCTCAATATGGGGGTGGTTGAACACTGAAACATTACCTAGATTAGTTGTACAGTCTCTATCTCTGGACATTTTGAGGAGCAGGTTCGATAAATGGTTGGCTGGAGTGATTTACTTGCGAAGAATCCTCCTTTGAGCAGGAGATTAGACTAGGTGACCTCCTGAGGTCTAGCCCTGTCTTCATCATTTCAAGTGGAACAAATTTGGAAAGGCAGTCACACTGTCAGAAACTGTTTTTTTAAACTTAGTCTTGGCTAATAACATTTTGAAAAAGGAAATCTTATTAAAAGATTAAAACACCATTGTTCCTTGACATACAGAGTTGGAGCCCTCAAAAACAATTCTGATACTTTCCAGAACTAGCTGTCTTGAAACCAGGGAAGCCCCAGACTTGATATTTGTAAAAGAGTGAAAACCATTCTAAAACTAAAAAAACATTAAGAATGCCAGTAATTGAGAAGGGCTTCATTTTACTTAGTTATAAAAGAGTGGCATGTTTTTATCCCAAGTTGAATTTAATTGTCTCATTTGGACCTTCATTATAAAGATGAACATTTGAATGTCCATACAGCAGGATTGTTTTCTTTGACCCTCTTATTTGGTGCAAAATAGAGTGTAATTGTACCTGTATATTCATACTAGCAAATTGCCTGTCAAGAATGAATGGTGGGGGGGGGACCAGAGCCCCATGTCGGCCCCCGCTCATCCAGGCCCATTCCCCGCCTTTCCCTCCTCTGCCCTGCCATTTGGGATTTGGCCCCACTCCCCCCTCCCCCCTCCGCTGCGTTGTGCCCGTTGTGCCCCTCCTCCATCCCACCCCTGCGCAGCTGAGTCAGGCCTGGGCCCGTTCCTCCCCCCACATTGGGCCCAGGACTGGTGCCCCTCACCCCTTCTCCTGCTGCCACCTTGTCCCCCTTTCCCCCCCCTTCGCTGTTGTTGCTGCTTCCAGAGAGCAGGGTTGTGGGGGGGTTGCCCCCCCCACTCTGTTCTCCCCATCATGGCAGTGCTCCGCCACTGCCTCCTGTCTGGAATGCTCTTGGAGCACTGTGGTTGTTTCAGACAATCAATCAGTGTGTGAATAAAGTGTTACAGACAGACAGACTAAGGCTTTTATAATATTAGAGTACAGGTTGAGGTACCAGGAAATAAACTTGATGTAATACATTTTGGGGTTTGGCCAGTATTAGGGATCTTGTTGAGAATGTCCTTCAGCATTTGTGTGGCATT